GAGATGTTTGTTGCCAACATTCAAAGATAATAATCTCAAGAAGGGATCAAACTTGTCATGGGTATTAATGGCCCCAGGAAAGTTCTACACATTATTTAGAAATATAAGTTTTCCATGTCGCCAGCCTTCCTAATGCCACTAGATTTGAATCACTGGTTTAGGCATTAAATTTTAGAATTTTGAGAAAATRCTTGAAAATAAAGAATTATAGTCCAACGATGAAGAGATTTCACCTAACTGGTACATCCATATCAAAAAAGAAGATACATCATAAGACAATTGTAGTTCTAGAGGGCTTATTAGTTATTACAATTGATACTTATAAAAAAATTAGCTATTACTGTTGATTATTTCATCCTTTCTGAAGTTATGGAAAGAAAAGAAAAACGRGGAAGGGGTGACTTTTTATATTCATGGTTTCTTGAAAAAGTAGTAGAAACTGTAGTTGCGAATACAAGGTCTGGGCAAAGAATTTTCAAAAAAAAAAAAAAAACAATTTGTAGTGTAGGGCGGAGAAATATCCAATTAGATTTTTGGGACCTTGGGTGCAAACCCACAATTTTTGCCTTATTGATATCAAGTAATTGGAAAATGTCAGAAATGGTTAGCAATGTGGAAGAGGAACTACATCTCTAGACACTAAATGAGAAAGACTTATGCTCAGGCAAATCTCTTGGTTTACTATGTTTTAGTGTTCCAGAATCCTAATAAGTTGAGGGACCATATTGAACAACTTTACCGGAAATTTTTTATGCGATGGAGACCTTATTACGATTGGATATCTATGTGCAATGAGCAATCAAACCTTTGGACATCCATTATCTGCAAGAAATTCAGGATGAACACAAACAGGTGGGACAGTAACATCAACTCACACCATTTTTGCAACTACAGTTTGAGCTCCTCTTTCCCATGCATATTTCAGTTCACCTTGCATAAGGATGCTGTAATTTTTGGCTTCCTATTTCATGATGACAATGGTTTGGACTAGCATTTACATTTAAACATCTTCCTACGAATTCCAAGATAGAGGAATTTGTCTCTCTTATCAATAGTCCTAGGGATGTTTTTATTCTCCATCTACCCTTGATACTAGAAATTGGTTGCCCCAAACCCAATCATTAGGTCTCTTACCACTAAATATTTTCCCCATAGGCCCGAACTTTGATTTTTAACCCTGATTAGCATGTAGTGCTTGAAAAAAAAAACTGCCTTTCTTTTGTTCTACCTAGAGTATGCTTCTCTTTATGGTTGGCAACCCCAGGAAAGATTAGCACTTTTGATTCAGTCCTAAAAGAGAGATGCCCATCCTATGGTCAATYTGGGAAGAGAGAAAATAGGTTCTACCTAGGGCAAGGAAGCACTTGTGGTGGTTGTCACTATCAAGGTTATGCCATTGAATTTTGTACGATCAATTAAAAGCAATTTCTTAGAGTTTTGTACGATCTATTGGTGTAATTGAATCATTTTGATCTTTGATCTCTCAATTGAAGTTTTTACTTTGAAACCTGTGATTAAGCGATGCTTTCAAGGATCAAATTTTATTTTCTTATTTTCTTTTCTTTTTTTTTGTGAAAATGTGAACTCCGACAATGAGAATGATAGATCTCGTGACTGTTAAGTAAGTAATTGTCATTTGTCAATGTCACCGGTATTCTTGAGATTATTTTTATTTCTTTTTTTACCGGTGTTACGAGTGTTTTGAATTTAAAGTTAAGTAGAACATTCATGAGTAATTCTTTTCCTATGAATTAGGTAGAATTTTAAATGTCTAATCTGCAATGCATGGGAAGCTAGACTTCTAGTATGAACCAACATGGTTAATACTGGTCGAGAGAAATTGGCTTGCAAGTGTGCAACAGATTAAAAAAGCTCAACCATGTTGGTAAGCTTTACTCTGTTTATGTTTGTTCTAGCTCTCCCCTCCTTTTCATTTTCCCCCTTGATTGTCATTACTAGCTATCCGAGGTGTCTATATCAGGGTGTTGTTTCACTTTCATTTTTATTTTTATTTTTTGGTTGATTACAATTCACTGCATTCTTATATAAGTGCTATCTAGCATCAAGATTAATGTAGTAAGCTTATTTATTTATTTTTAACAAAGTACACACATCTTTTAAGATTGGATGAATGAAACATGCTAGGTTTATTTTGGCCGATGCTTTTTCACTGATGAGGAACCACCACCAAGGCAAAAGATATTTCTTAGTTTCGCTGATTAGAAGAGATACCTCTTAGTTTCGTTGATCAGAAGAGATATCTCTTAGTCTCCAATTAAGTTTACCCTAATTTCTACTCCTTTATTATTTAATCCATATTGCATATATTATGCTTCTGTTCTGGTTATTTAAAAGCCCTTTGTCTCTAAGGAATTTATCCACAATCATATATAATTTTATGTTATGAATTATTTGTAACTATTATTTGTGAAAATTATTAAATTAACAAAAAATTGTGATAATTATTCAATTTACCACACTTATCATTAATTTATTGCAATGATAAAAAATATTGATAAATAAAAATAATAAGAGTAATTTTTAAAATATTTTTTTTCTTTTGTAATTTGATAATTATGGAAATTCCAGTATTATAGTAATTTTGTTATTAACGAATTATTTTAAAATTTTTCAAATTCTGTAAAATTTACAACAACAATTATCATTATATTATTTGTAATAACTAACAGTAAATTATTTTTAGTTATGGGTGAATTATTAGAAACTATTGAAATTGTAAGAATTATTTGTTTCAAAATTAGTTTTACCAATTTCATATAAGTTAGTCTCATTAAAAAATATAAATAATAATATAAAAATGTGGATCCCTTCACCGAAAATTTGAAGTATTTAGATACCCTGGACATTGGGTCTGTCTTTTAATCACCTTGGCTTTTTAATCTAATTCTAACATGATTCCAAGCATTGATTGCTTGGTTGTGCTGTTGATCGTTGTAGTTGTTCTTGTTTTTTAACTAATGGTGCTTCAATTTCACCAATGCTTCTCACCTTTGTATTATCTCAGTTCCCAAAGAAGGTCCCTTCATTTGAAATTAGAACTTTAACCAAGAAGATGATAGAGTAATGGAAAGCTGAAGTTTGGTGTTTTCCTTGTTGCATGCTGCATGCTGTTGGATCAATTTAAGTAGAGATGCATTTAGGGAATTGGTGTTAGCAAAATAAATTGGATATAAATTTTAATTTATTTTAAGTAACTTTTTTTTCTAAGATACTTTCACTAAAAAATAACTTCTCAACTTCTTTTTTTCTATACAATAATTTCATTTCTCCAAGCCCCTGCAATTCAGGGGCCCCTCCGGTAGTAATCCATTTACTACAATAAACCCAGATTTCTTTGTTTTAGCTCCCACACACATCTTGTAGATAATCACTGATGTTGTGCGATCTAGTAATTCTTTGTAGACAGCTCAGATGCTGAGCTGATGAGGTTGCCTGGTCGAGCTGCAAAGAACAGTGTCAGAGTGTCCGGGTTGTTATACCCGGGGTGGACACTCTGATGCTTAAGTTAGCAAACTAGCTTAGGAAGTGAGAAAGCTAATAAACTTTGAGAGTTAAATCGCATATAACGCTTTTGAAGAAGGAGACACCTTTATATAGGATAACTGTCGTTAGCTCCACGAAACACATCCGAAATCTCCAACCCATTTGATTCGAAGGTGGTTTCACGCCTGGAGACGGATTCTGCATAAGTTGGTAATGCTAATCTAGTCTCGTCCAAAACGGGTGGGATCGAGATCAGTTCCGACAATGTGTTATCGTGATCTCGGGGGAATCGGAGACAGTAACCTCCTCACGAAGGAAGTCGCCCGTCGCATTGGGCAAGTCGCTAACCGGATTTGGGCTAGATCGGTGGAGGCATATCGGCTCTTTACGTTGACTTGACATCTCCCGAACTATTCGTAGATTATCCTGTCGAAGTGGAGACGAGGAGGTTGAGACAGATGCCAGGTTTCCAAAGTCCGCTTACTTGGTGCCAAGATGTCAATGAACAATTTTATAGTGCCATGAGTCGTGATATCATTCAATTGAAAGACTAAATCACCCCTCATCAATCACCATAATGTGATGAGAATTATTAACATATATATCCAAACAAAAAGTAGATGGAATAACCATAAGTCACTTATTCTAAATTAATTGAACCGATGAATGGGGCAGATCATAACTAAAGTTTTATGTTCAAGCTCTCAGCTGTAATTGTAAACTTCATCCTCCATCGGGAGAAAGAATCTATGGATGGAATAGAATCAAAATGTTAGGGTACATGCACTTAGAAGACTTGAGAATACTCTGCTTGATTTGGTTTTTATTTTGCTACTTGTAGGGAAAGACTAACATGATAACAAGATCTTTGGATAAGCCTTGATTAAAGGGCCATTACCCGGCTATAAAGGTCCTGGTCATTTGGGGTTTGGTTATTGGGAGGGGTAGACTGTATACAATCCAAACTTACGGGTTTTTTCACAGGGTGGCTGCTCTAAGACTCGAGATTACACATATAGCGTTCTCACACTTGTTTTACCATTATAAAGGGATTTCCCAAGCAATGGCCCCTAGCTTTGAACAAGATCTTGATCAAAGCAAAATTTGCTCAGTATTTGCAATTTTGATCAACAAGAAAAGAAAAAGGGAGAACAAAGTTTGATCTCATTATGGCTGCTGGTGCATTTTGAGAGTTTGCAACGTTATTCTGTTCAACATATTAAAGAAAGAGAAAACAGCACATTCAACAATTGAAGCAACAAACCCTTTTTGCCCAAAGTGAAAACCATTTCGATGCATGCAACTCTGTGACAACACTAGCATAACTCCACCTCCACATATCAAGCTGTTAAGCCAACTATTTGGGGACAGTTGCATGAATTCTGTTTTGCCATTCAACCCTATCGAGGGTCACATCCGTTTTTCAATTAAAATCAATTTAAATAATAAATAAATGTATAAGCAAATACCCAAACAGTAAAACAGAAGACAAATAATGTTATATCCATCCATACCAAGAAAGGAAACAATTAAACAATCAACAGCTTAAAGCTATAACAATGTTCGCTAATAACAGAGAAGGAAAGAGGCTTATAGGATGGGAAATTACAGAGTTCCAAACAGATCAGTTTATCTTCTAAGAAACTCAAACACTTCCAACAAAACCGATCAAACAAAATAGACCACAGAGATTAGCCTATCCAGGACCAGGAAGAAACATTTCCGGAAAAATTACTTACATACAGAAAAGGTTTCTCCACAGAACTCCCACTGTGTTCCGCGTATAAAATAATGCATCACAGAAAACCATATCTTAACTTCGTCTGTAGGACATGGAAACAAAAACCCCATTTACAAATTTCTTAGTTCTCATTATGAACCTTGAAATCGCATCCGAAGCGCCAAAATTCTTTTTCCCGGCCAGATTTTATTTTGAGCTTCTTTCTCATTTACAAATTACAATTGTCTATGGATTGGCAGTCGATGATATGAAAAGAATTTAAAGACCTCACAAAGGAAGAATCGAGTTCCGGCTCCGGCCATATCTGGATAAGAACTTCCCACCACTCGAGAATGATCTTTTCATGGAAACAGGCCCCTTCAGCAGAGATCGCCCAATGGAAGAACTACCCATTTCGCTGAGGACGCTCGGACTTTCACTGACATGCTTTATAACAATATCGGGATCGGATTTATTTACAAGGACTAGTCGAGTAGATGAACTCCCTTCCGATTGTAATTGGAGAGAATTAGCTATGGAGAAACTGATGATCGCAGCCTGAGATGAATCCATAGAAACAGACCGCCCAACTGGCTGCATCTCATCCTCCACTTCCCGACGACTGTCGCGCAAATCACAGGGAACCCGGAATCCAGAACTCGGAAGGGGTGAAGGGACTCCATCCTTTGGTATCCCGGAATCGCTCCTTCCATCCTCCTCGACCGGGATTTCTTCATTCTCAGTTCCAACGCCCATCAGGTCGCAGACCCCACGTTCTCTGGTTTGATTGCTTCCCAGCCTGGGATCGCTCTGAGAATTCTCCACCAGGATTTCATCCCCAGCGGGAAGATTGTTGGAATTTGGCGGCGGCGGAGTCGTCGTCTGTGGGCCAGAGGTGCTAGCTACAATAGGTGCACGACACAAGGGGCAATTTTTATGGGATCTCAACCAAGTGTCGATACAGGGGAGGTGAAAAGCGTGGCTGCATTTGGGTAGGAGACGCAGAGTCTCGTCGTCTTCGAACTCGTTGAGACAAACCGAACACTCGGTGCCTTCGGTGAGGCCATCTCCTCTCTTATACTTGCAGACGGTGATGGAATTGATGATGGAGTCCTGGAGACCAACAGTGGTGATGTACCAAATAGGGTGATCCAAGACGGGGCCATGATTCTCGTCAAGAAAATCTTGGCGGATATCGTCGGATCGAGGTGGAGGTGATCTCCTGAAACGGGTGTTCCAGTTTGAACAGTATTTGACAATGATGGCGTAGTAGCTAACGAGAAGGAAGGCACTGGTCAGTACGGTGATCAGGATGATCAAAAAGGGTGAGATGTGGGATGCCGCATGAGATGATCCTTCGACAGGGGGAGGAGGCAAAGAAATTAAATAAGATGGGCAGTAAGAAGGACAAAGGCCATAACAGAAGGATGGACAATTATCCGTCGAGTTACATCCAGGTGAACAATACTCTGGATCGTCCAACTCTTTTGACAACAACTGTCTGTAAAGATGCGCCATGAGAGACACAAAGAAGAAGAAGAAGAAGAAGAAGAAGAAGAGGATGATTACCTAGAGCTCCAAGAAAGACAGAAATGAAACAGGAGAAAGGTTGGTTGCATCCACCTTTCTGCGATGGACTCTATGTTTGAATTGATCAAGTTTGGGACGGGGAGAGAGAGAGAGATGTTTGCCTTTTGTTGTGGGTTTATTGTTTGTTTTGGATTTAATCTGGGTTACAACCGGTGGTGGGTGGGCCGGTGGGAGTGGACTAATAAAGCAGAGGTTGATGGGAAGTTTGTTTTGTTTGGACTTTGGAATTGGAGTAAAGTCAATGAATTGTGGTGCGGGCTCTAAACTAAACTTTATCTACTTTTTCCTCACAGAATTTCAGTTTGTACAAATGTTGTGTATATCAGGAGTGCTGCATAGTAATCGTTAATTACAAGTCAAAAATAGAATAAAGAATAAAGAAGGTTGTTGATCGTCCATCAATGACATATCACATATATGGAGCTATTTGGTACCATCTTTCATTTTTTCTGTTTCTTTTACTCAAATTCGCTGACTTCTTCTCCACAGGAACAGAATATATGCTATCAAAAACAACCTTTATATTTTTATAATTTTATATAGAGATATAGAGAGGTCCTCAAATTGGATGGTTGTACCTAGCTTATTATAATTTTATTTTTTACTCTACTTTTTTAGTTATTATTATTATTACTATTATTATTATTATTATTTTCTTTTTGAATTGAGGGCCTCAAACTTCAATCCCCATTTGCTAGATGTTCTCATGGTCTTTTTTTGGTAAGGATTCTCATGGTGTTAATAAACCATCATTTATGCCTATCAATTTTTGGACAATGACAATAGTCTATAATATAAATTACACGGTTTTAATCCATCTAACAATTGTCTTTGTTTTCACTTTCCACCAAGTTTCATTGATAATTTCATTGAACTCTGTCTCATTTCTGGACCTTTTGGTTGAGACTAATGTGGCACTTGATAAATCTGAATTCTGATCTTTGAAAGGCCAATAAGTAATTATTTGGTCTAAAATCTGAAAAAAAAAAGTAGAACTGATTTTTTTTCGTTTTAGTGGCTTTGAAAAAATAAAAATCATTTGAATTGGAGCAATTCTCAAACATCTAAAATTATAAAATTTACTATTTTATCCTAAAATTAGATAGTTCGATAATATTAAAAATTATAAAAATAATATTAAGTCAATATTATTGTTCATTATTATTATTATTGTGAAACATTATTTTATTTAAAAAATAATATTATTTATTATTATTAAACAAATGACATTAATGGGGGACTATATCTAACCAATTCAGGCATTTTTTCCTCTAATGAAAGGTTAGACACAATACCATTTAAAATGCCTCCAAATTTTTGTGAATAAGAAAAATGTTATCAAATGCCACCTAAGCTTTGTATTTCTAGGGGACTCTAAGACTTATTTTTTTTATAAGTGAAAAATAAAATATCACCAATAAACAAAAATATTACAAATGTCCCATTATAACCACACAGAAGACTCCCCATCCATACACAGCTTTTTGGCTTCGTATGGTGGGGATTCTAGGACTTTGGAGAATTATATATTCATCAATTGTTCCTTGTTGTGTTGTTAATGAAGAAGACGTTTTTATTAAAGAAGTTTTGTAGTTGGCATCATCCGTATCACCTCTGTAATACACAATTACTTAAAATAAAACCAAGAAATTAAAAACGGGCATCCATGCGATCAGATGAAAATAACTAGTCAACTTTGATGTTTAAGTGCTAGTTTTTTCTTTTTTTTTTTTTTATACCAAGAAAGGGGTAGGTACTTGGTATAGGCTGGTCCTGATATTAGTGGGTTACGAATAATTCAACCAGATCATCATTTCTTCAGTAATTTACATTGAAATGCCAATCTCATACTTTAATTCGGATTCATTCAACAATAATAATAATAATAATAATAATAATAATAATAATAATAATAATAATAATAATTATTATTATTATTATTGTATAGCTACACGCAACTGATCCAATCAGATTTCGTTTATTGATTGGGGGTTGATAATGGACTAAACCCAAACAATGAAAATTTCAAAACCAGGATAGGTTTGATGGGTCAGATCAATAATTGGTTCCACTAATTATAATTTCATAATTTGCATTTCAGTGCAATTAAGGTAGGGTGGAATAATAATTAAATATCACAAATGCTAAATGAAAAACGTGTAGTAGTATATGATAATGTGCCAAAAGATGTGAGATCTCACCATATCCTAATGGCACAAGATGGAGAGGGTTGATGTAGGGCTGCAAATGGATTGATTGAATTTGTATTGGGTATTATTATAATCTAAACAAATTTTGAATTGTATTGGGACATTTGATTTGATTAAAATATAAGTAAATCTATATAAAATTAACATTAATTTATAAAAAAATATAAAACAAAAAATATATATTATAAATAAAAAAGGGTTTTAATGAATGAAGTCCATCAACATCCAAATTCTATCTAATTACTAAATGCATCATATTTTGAAATCCAAGTTGATCCAACTTTAGCTAAACAGATATTTAAATCCGATTTAAAGAAAAATCAGATCTTAATTTCATTGAAACGGAATCGGGAATCCGATCCATTTGCAGCCCCGAGCTGGGAAAATGAAAAGTAAAATCAAAACCTCTTTTTTATTTGAGGAAAACAGAAAAGAAGGGATATATGGACTGGAAAATGAAAATATGACTTGGCTTAGCAGACTATCTTTATACCTCAAACAAGCGTGAGACACGAGATGTGATCTGGACGAGAATTTGAGTGACAGGTTATCAGAACTTCAGCCAAAATACTCTATTGTAAATACACTTTAAGTTCTTTTGCCAACAGTACAAAAAGATTGTATTATATTCTTGAAAACATTAATTACGATTCACAGTTGCTTGTAAATACACTAAAGTTTACATGACAATGACGTTATGACTCACTCAAGCCAATCTTAAGGTTATTGGTATGGAAGGAAAGACTTAACCACGTGGCAAATTTAAATCCTTAACCTAACTAAAAGATCAGCCCAATAATCTTTTCTTTCGATTTTCAAAAGAATCTATTGTTGTTAGCCACGTGCCACACTATAATTTTTGTTTATTACAAAAACAAAAGGGTCATTTATTAAAATACTCCTATAGTTTTATATATTTACTAAATCATATCTTATAGTTTATGTTTTACTAAAACTCCTCTTATAATTTGCAATCAATTTACTTAATCAATCTTCTATCAAGAGTTTTTTATATTACTATCAGAAAATTGTAATTTGACCACATTATATTGAACTTTTAAAATGTTCAAGGGTATGGGCCTATGCTGTTTTATTCTGAAATTACCCCTTAATACATTATATTAAACTTTTAAAAAATGAACCATTGTTTGGTTTTCAGATCGATCTACCACACAATTATGGGGATGTATTAATAAATGATCCAAAACAAAATTCTCAAATTTCATATAATCTACCAAAGGATGAATGGGCCCAAATATGCAAGAGAAAACAGGCTTAAAAATGAGTGAACTTGATCGTCAATACGATTTATGGGTAGGTGACCAAATCAGAACTCTTAGATGTTTTCCCACCACTTAATTATATGTACGTATATATGAGTTCAAACACGATGTATTTATTAATATTCGCTGCAGTTTAAATCCAAATATTAACCAATTACACTAAAATCTACTTATAGTTTATTAGCTCACGTTTCACAGGTTCAATCATTTTCATCCTTTTTCTGCATGGTGCAATAGATACATCATAGACTTTGCCTTTAATTTATTTGTTTATTTGAAATCTCATGCCTTCGTTGCCGACGTTGAAAAAGAATAGGTGCGGGGACTCTGTCACTGGGTTCTCTGTAGTAGTTTAGCTTTACCTATGAGTTTAAATGCCGGTGATTCACAGAATTTTGGTTCTGTATATATAGAACCATAAAAAATAATACAGATTTATTTTTACCCAATTGATTTGAATAAATCCTTTAATTAACTTTCAGAATACTTATCAGCAGAAATTACATTATGAAGAAAATGAGGTACAAATAATTAAGTATAACAATTAGAAGGGTATGACACTGCCTGCTGAGAGCCACGTACATAGGTTTTAGACATTGCTTCTATCAAGACAAATACAAGTATAAAAATGATAATTTTATTAATAAAATATCTAAAATTTTGGAAAAAAAACCTTGTTTGTAATTTTAAAAATTTTCATCTGGGGGGTTAAATAAGTCACGAATGATTGTGATTAGTTAAATACAATTTAATTGTATCAGCGTTTCTACAAAGCAAATTAAGAAACGAAATGGGTCATCAAAACGAGGCCGCGTTCTGTGCACCCTCGAATGATAGACGGACACGTTATCTCATCCATATCCATGTAACCGCGAATTAACAGAAATTTTTTCCGTTACCGATCGTTCGGCTGGTTGAACCGGCCAGGCGGCCATATCGCCATGTTTTGCAAAGAGCCGACTCCTTAATCCTCCGTCGTGACAGTCAAATGTCCAAACTTCAAATATTTCTGGTACCAATTCTCTCTCTCTCTCTCGTTCATGGAGGACGTAGCAACGAGGAATGGAATTGGAACTGCGAAACAGAGGAGTAAGGGAGGGTATGGTCCATCCATCACGGCATCACTACAAAAAATATGACTTCTAGCGTCAGTTTTTAAGGTGACAGTAGTTTGACTGCCTCTAGAAACATATTGTTTTTAGCGGCAGTCGATTAAAAGTGCCACTAAAGACCCACCGACTGCCGCTAGAAAAGAGAAAAAGGCGCGGGGTGACCTTTTCCTCCCCCACGCATTTCTTTCCCGCCCTCTCTGTTTCTCTCCTCTCCCAGTAGTCTCTCTCTCTCTCTCTCTCTCTCTCTCTCCCGAGATCTCTATCTCAGTCATTATATCGCTCTCGTTCGCTCTCTATCTCAATCTCTCTGTGTCCTCTCTCTCTCTCTCGTGCTCTCTCTTTCTCATGCTCTCTCTCTCGAGTTCTCTATCTCAGTCGATTCCCGCTCTCTATCTCAATCTATCTCACACACAGTCGCACATCTCAATCTCTCGCTCTCTATCTCAGTCACACATCGGCGGCATCTGATTCAGGTAAAAATCCCTTTCTCTGTTTTTTAGGTTTTTTATTGTTTGAAAAAATAAATGGTCCAGCAGCTCACCAAAGAGCAGATCTCTGAGTTCAATGAGGCTTTCAGTCTCTTCGATAAGTAACGTCATTGAACTCTGTGATCTGCTCTTTCGAATTTGAATTCAATTTGATCCTATTTTGTCGGATTCATATATCTTTCTATCAGATTTTTGAATTGGATCTGATCAAAAAATAGGTTCTATTTTAAAATCAGAACGAATTTGATATATATTGCATTTTTTAAAATAAAAATGGTTGGAAAAAATGCTTATGTTTTTTTGCATGTTTTTCTTTGTATAAACCGTTTTTTTTTTCTATTGATAATTAGTTAAATTCTATAAGTGGCATTTGTATCTGAAGAAGGTTTCTGGGTTTGGCCACACCACAGGGACTTGTCTTACAATAATTTGAGTGGCCTTATTCCCAAGTTTCCTGCACGAACATTCAAGTAGTTGCTGCTAAGTTCTTTCTTTTCCAATGGAAAACAATTTATCTTATGCCTTTTCCCCTTCCAATAAAGAACATTTTCTGAACTTACTCCTATTCTCTATATATATATTTTTTTATTTTATCTTTCATTGTTGCAGCATTGTAGGAAACCCTCTAATCTGCACAACATGCTAAGAGCACAACAGCATTGTTGCAACATTGCAACATTGTTTCCCCATCATTTATTAATTTTGTCTCAAGGAAACTCATAGGAAGTGCTTTTGAGCTCTATATAGTTCATGCTATTAAACATAACTCTGCAAAAGTCTGCTGCTCAACAGACTGTCCTTGTTCATGCTATTAAACAAAACTAAACAGAGACTTTAGTTTAGCAGTTTGAGATTCAGCTCAGGTTTTCCCAACAAAATAGGTTGGGCATACTGATAAAAAAAGGCTGGACAGAACTTAAGAGAGTTTAAGTAATCAATAAGGCATTAAGGCCATTATCCAATTTCTATTTTGGAATTGTCCTAAAATGTTTTAGCAGTAAATCTTGAACTCTTCAAGATTTAAAATGTTGCAACAGCTTCACCCCTATCATGTTGTTGACACTTCTAACATTTGAACCTCCAAAATAGACATGTGCAAAAGACATTTTGCTAATGGAAGTGCCTTATTGTTTTGTAGGTTTAATTGATTAATTTTTTAATATTTTATTGTTCATTTTATCTAATTATCAATGGTTGCTGCCCATGCATTATTTCTTTCAAATCTTGAACTCTTGAAGATTTGAAATGTTGCAACAGCTTCACCCTTCTCATGTTGTTGATACTTCTAACATTTGAACCTCCAAAATAGACATGTGCAAAAGACATTTTGATAATGGAAGTTTCTTATTGTTTTGTGGGTTTAATTGATTAATTTTTTAATCTTTTATTGTTCATTTTATCTAATTATCAATGGTTGCTTTGATTCTCACTGGCTGCTGCCCATGCATTATTTCTTTTTGAGCTTGTACATGGTTTATATACGGGGAATAATTTACTTATTTATTGTATGCATGCTCCAATAGTCGTAAAACCTCTGATGACCACATATGGGTAGCAACAGGGACAGAGGTACAGGAAAGAGTATTTGACTCCCCAGATCCTAAGAGAGTCCTGATCTATGAACAACACTGTTACTATCCACCAGCATCAAACTTTTGCAAGCATTAAAAGCAAACTTCACTTTCTTGCTCTCTCCTTTGGGCACAAACACCCTCTCAAATCCAATCACCTGCTTAGAAGGAGCACCAACTACACCATTTGGAGGTTTGGAATACACGATCAGTACATCATTTCCATCTCTACTTCCACTGTTCTGCACTTCAATCTTGAAATCAAATTCCAAGACTGCTGGGCATAGAGGCTTATATGCATCATCCTCATAAAATAGAGAACGACAATGCTGATACTTGTTCAAGTTAAATGTCCAGAGACCTTTTAGATGAAGCAATGTTATAAGTAAACTGAGTATAACTCAAGCCATATCCAAAGGGAAAGACTGTAGAGCCATTGAAGAACTTGTATGTTCTTCTAGGACAGCCCAAACTATCAACTGGCCTAAATGGCATTGATGTCATTGGCAGCTTGTCCACATAGTTTGCTTCATACCATGTAATTGGTAATTTGCCACCTGTAAACATAAATTAATTTCATTAAAACCGAATTTTTACTAAACCAAATGATTTGATGATATAATTACCTGGGTTATATTTTCCAAATATAACATCTGCAATGGCTGAACCACCTTCCTCACCAGGATACCCAGCCCAGAGAATTGCTTTAATATTTGGTTGCTCTTGGCAAAAGAAATACTAACACCTCCGGCAGACATGACCACAAGAATAACGGGTCCTTTAGAAACTTCAGCAACTTGATTAATCAACTGAGTTTGGTAACCAGGAAGAAGCAAATCAACTTGAACCAAACCCTCTGCTTCACTGACAAATCTAGACCCACAATCACCACTGTAGCATCTRCATTCTTTGCTGCCTTCATCTTTCCCAAAGTCAAAATTCTCATCTTTACAAGCTACATCATTGCATCCCATTGCATACTTAACGTCTGCAAATCTGGATAAACCTTGCAATGGGGAAGTATAACGGCATGGAATACCTATATTCCAAACCTCCAAATAGGAATTTTTGCCTTCTAGCACAAGAGACCGAGAAACTCAGAAAAGTAGGACAAAATCCTGTGAAAAATGCTAAATCTACAAAACACACATTAAATAAATGGGGAGGGATAGCATTGCCCATGTGGGATGCATCCGCATCAAATAGCCGTTAGTTTTTTTTTACAGGCAAAGTAGCTTCTATTCTAATTTTGTGCACAATTTTCTATTTTTCTATTCCTGATGGAAAATAATCCCAGCATGAGAACAGAACGAACTCAAATATGTCCAGTTCCTATGGACATCTAATTACTGTACACACCTTCTTGGAATCGCCTTTCAGTTTGCATATGCCAAAAATACTCAATCATACTACATAACATTTCAATTTAACTTATCCCTTCTTATCACTGAACTACTACATCCTCTTCTTACAGCAATGTATATTCCACAAATTTTATTTTTGATGAGCAACTTACACAGGAAGAATTGAAACCTCAGTATTTCTTGGAATTATAGCATACTCTTTCATAATCAGGTTGGGTTGGATCAGATTGAATCAGGTTGGTCATTGCATAATTCCTCATTGTCTTGTGCCTCTCTAGATGATCTGGTGTGAGGTTTAAAACCACAGCAACCTGAATGGTGCCCTTAATGTTATGAAGGTGGATAGAAGAGTAGATTCTCTAACCATCAGTCAAACATTCTAACCTACTTACTGAAGAACAGAAATGCTTATGGGGAATTTCCATTTGATAGCTGCTAACCTCCACCACTGCAACCTGAAGCATGTAATGGTGGATATCAAGATTAATAACATATACTGCAGAATATATTATAATTGATACCAAGTACAAACCTAGACACATCATGGAAAATAAGAAATTTTTTAGGATCACAATGCTAAGAAATCAATGAAAGGAATGAAGGAGCTGAAAGAGATAGCACTGTTTAATTGGAATTAGCAACAGATGAAGAAGGCTGGCAAAAAAGTAAACTATAATGGCATAGATGGAAAGAAAAAATGGAAAATCAAATAAAAAGAATCAAATGGCTCCAAAAAAGATGAACTTAGGCCTTTAATAGCAGCATCAGAGAGTGGATTCCCAAGGTTTCCCCCAATGAAAACCTTAAAACCCAAATTAGAAAGCATCTGCATCAAACAGTATCCAGATAAGACCAAAGGCAATTGCCATCATAGCCCTCTTCATGAGATATTTGAGTGTGGTAAGGGGCCGTTTGATAACAGCTATTATATATTTTGGGAAAGGTAGCCCCCATATATTTATCATGTTTATCACTCATCATTGACTCAACTGTAGAAAAAAGTAGTTGATTGATTCTTCATTTGTTTTTGTTTTGATCCAATACATAATACACCATGTTCATCATCATCGATTGGCTTCAAATTAGTGGGAAAAGCTCAAAGTTTCTTCTTCTGTTGTCTAATTTTTCAAGCTCATCATCATGAATATGATGAACACTACTATAGCTATATAGGATTCTCACATAGGTTACTCAATGAGAGCATTCCTATCTCAATTAAAGGGTGTATCTACTTGTTGGCCAGAACAATCAAATAAACCAAATTCCGTGTTAAGTGGTCAGGATGTTCTGGAAGATGTTCATGTAACTCAGATGTGAACTGTGATCCTTCAAAGCTGGGTTCTTTTCCTCTTTCCTCCCTTAAACCTACAGCCGACAGAGTCACTGAACTCCATCTCCCCCCCTGAAACACTGCTTGAAGTTCAACCCAAAATGAGCCAAAACTTAAACCTAAAGGCGTACCTACCTGCTATATGCAGTGAACGGCTATATAATGAAATGTAGAACCCCATATCCTTATCGGTTACAGTGACAAGAGTCATCTTTTCACAAAGAGTATAAAGTGTGAAGAGTGGAGCATTCCTGATGGCCTTCTGTACTGATGGCGAACCCTGAACTTTTGTCCCTATTCCCTTAACCCTTCATCCTATTGGGTTATTTATTGTTAAAGATCCAGGCAATATGTTCAGTCCATATGCCAACATAATTATTGAGGGTCTGGAGCCCTGTGCTATATTGCCTTCTTGTTTAATCCATTAGTATTTCACCCAAATAGCAGCTCATCACTGTTTTGGGGATGCACCAGTTAGATTGAAGAGCCAAAAAATGGATACAGAGGAACCTCTCCTAAAATAACGCTCAAAGTTGTTCTCAATTGGCAAAAGACCATGGTATTACCTTTTAATGCACTAAAGCAATGCCATATCAAATCCCTTCTTGAAGTTCTTTAGCATCTGTTGCATATTCTCTTGCATTTCATATTGGTACTATCAACCTTTTAATTTATCATTGATGGACTGCTTTTATTTAGGTATGGGATGCAACAGCTGCAGATCCAAAGTTGCTTGTGTATTTGAAATCATACTGGAATACTGTTCCTGTGCCAAGGCATTGGTGCCAAAAGAGGAAATTCTTACAGGTGAGTTTTGCATTGTTGCAAGCAAGATTTGCACGCATCTTGATAGGAATACAATATAAGGGGTTGTGGAAGAGGGTGAGGGAAGATAAAGTCGATATGGTTTCACTCCTCTTATATATATATGTGGTTCTTGCAGGGGAGCGGCTGTAACAATCATGGAGCCAGGACTTGGTGGTCTTTGCTGAGGGGGACCCCTGAATGGTTTCTCTTTTAAAATATTTTCTAGGGTGGGTGGGGGTGTGATGCTACTTGTGCATACAAAATAAAATGCCTTGGTTAGATAGCTTGTTCCACGTGCAGTAGAAGAATTGACTGGCTGGGGAACTATGGTTTTGCTCTGCAATTCTGCATGAGTGTTGTTTTTGTTGTGAATAATTCTTGGACTGAATCTTTTCCTTTTTGACACTGCAGATAACCTGGGCTGTTAAAAGGGCTTTAAAATTCTTGTTTGTAGACACATTTTGCATTAATGCTAGAAATGATATCTTTTAAGTTTTCAGCTATTTCATGTATTTGTTATTTTCCCTGCAGGGAAAGCGTGGTATTGAAAAGCAGCCTTTCCAACTTCCTGATTTCATTACTGCAACAAGAATTGAAAAAAATAAGACAAGTATGTTGCAAATTATTAACATACAGTCTAATTTGCAAGCACTCTTGTTTTTACTTCTTTAGGTTATTTCAACTCGTGTTATATTGAATTTAATTCAATCTTATTTACATCCATATTATTTTCTAAAAGGCCAAAAAGAAAAAAAAAAGGGAAATTGCTAAGTACATTCTAGTGATAGAAATCTTAGTTGGTTTCCTTCTAAACTGGAAATTTTGTTTTATGGTTCTAAGTACCAATATAGCACAGACCTGTAGCTAAGTTTGTACTCTTTTATCTTTTAAAGGCTCGGAGATGTTGAAGGGTTTTGGAATGGTTTAGGATTACTTTGATGCAATGCAATTGTTATTAGCGGCCTGCAAACATGGGAAAATGTTTTTAGCAAACGGCACTTATCTTTGAGAACTACAATGGAGGATTTGGGTAACTGAGAATGGGGAAGGCAGTTAATGTGTTAGCTTTCTGATATTAGGAATGTTAAGTATATTTAATTTATCACTTTGTACATAATATTCTTTCCAGCAATTTTATAAAGTTACATTCAGAAATCCGGAGAAAAAGGAGCTAGTGAACATGGGAAAATGATTTTACCTTGACTGCTTGAGTCGGTGCTTTTGATGACACTAGCTGGCATTTGATGATTTAACACTTATGGCAAGTGTATGAGTTTTAATCTCATTTGAAGTCATCAAAAGGAGATATCTTCAAAAGAAAAAGAGAGAGAGAGAGAGAGAGAGAGATGAAGTGCTTGCTTTTGTGGGCCATTTATTTTGATTTAGGAAGATCATGTTTTTAATTTTATGGGCTAAGTTGTTTTGGTTGTAAGTTATAAAATCGAATTCGAAAACCATTGATAGCAAACCTCCCTCCTCTTCTCTGTCTTTTAAATGTCAAAAGATGTATGGTATTATTAAAATGGTTTTTAGTTATAATGCAAAAATACTAGATCCTTCCCCAATTAGTATTTATGTTATTTATGTTAGAGAGTACAACTAGTTTATATGTTTATGATGTGAATGTAGGTTATTTTTAGTTTCTAAATTAATTTATTTTCTCAATAGCAAGATGGTATTTGCTAGTTATGATTATAGCAAAGGAATACAAGAAACACCCCCAACTGGTGGTGGGTAGCACCAACATACACTTCATAGTTGACTATCATACAAAGACGAGAAAAACAAAATACAAAAGCTTACTAACATTTTTTTAATCGGTGAAAGCTGCTTTAACAATGAAAAAGAAAGAAATACAACAACTGTCTGGTATGCTAGTTGCTAATGCCCTTACTTCTCTTGCTAGATATCACCTGGGATATTAGTTGATCTTGATTCCCACCTGAGCTGCCTATTCATCCTGAAACCAATTATCCTGCTTCCCTAATTTAGTGTCTTGTTATCTTGTGCTTTATGCTAACTCCAAAAAAAAAAAAAAAAACTCAATGGGCTTGTTATTTTAGATTTCTTTGCTGCACTATAACTTTAGCTTAAATATTTAAAAACAATGAATTTTAATTCCAAGGTTTTGATTGTGAAGAATAGGAGAATTTATTTCTACCAAAAATAGGAGAATTTATTTCATCATCCTCCGTGAAAAAAGTTGGTTTCGTGCTATTTTTGAATTATTAGACTGGATATGGTGCATAGGAAGGGTTTAAATTTTAAGATTTCCTTTTGATTTTGAGAAAATTGGAATTTGATATTTTTCAACTTAGCCTTGCTGATGGAAATATCTTGTATTTTCATTGTAATATGCTAACCTGTTTCCTAGTTTTATGGTATTTTTTATAGGCTTATATTGAAAAAGAGGACAGTAAGAAGTTAAAGCAGAAGCAACGTGAACGTATGCAACCAAAGATGGGAAAGATGGACATTGACTATCAGGTTTGTCCTCAATTTCTTGTTTCCTTTCTATATTGGGGAAATCTGTGCTGCTGGAAAAGACATGATATCGAAGGGGTTTGACCAATCAACACCCCATGAATTTTGATAAATACTATCTGATTGTTACCATTTTTATGATACCAGTTCATTGGTTATAAGTTTTTCCAGTATCATAGTCGAACCCTTTTATATCTTACTGTTATTGATTGTCATCCTTGCGTGTTGAGTCAGCGCTGGTCCTCAATCTCTTGTTTCCTTGAAATTGCCTCGTAGAAGTCAATCTTACTCTTATCTGATCCGTGGCAGTGCATATTTTTGGAGTCTTTTCTTGTCCTTGAAATTGAATCCTGACACAAGTACATAACCGAATAAGCATATCTCTTCAAGCTTAATCCTGAGGTGGGGCTGTGAGAGTGTGGTATCGATTTGTTCAATGCCAGAGTCTCAGTCGTCTGAATATGGTCAGTCTGACAAGTGATGCTGGACTCATACTTCTCCTTCTACTATCATAACTTCATACATCAGTAAATGGGCCCTGGATTCTTGGGTCCAATTTCACAGGAAATCAGCAAGCCCACGTGGCACAGTCTCTAGACTTGCTAGTGGCTGGCATTAACAGGCAAAGGATTTGGTGCATGATTGTTCCATTTAGATATCAGCCATTTCTTCTCTCCACCTATCTCATCTTTCGTCCAATGATCGAGATGACCCCACACTGGGGATTCATTTCATCTCAATATTTGTTCTCCTGATTCAGTGACTGCTTCCTGATTCTGGACCATGTTGCAGTAAATTTCAATAAGCCAAATCCGGTTTTCTACCGTCGATGTTCCCTTTTTGGAAGCTAGCCACATTGTATATTTGATTGCTTCTTGTTATTACTAATGTTTGTTTGTTTTTAGAGAGCACTATATTTGGATCAGTTGATAAAAATGTTATTTAACGTTTTGGAAGGCATGATCGGGTTCCAATCAGACTGAGAATCTGGAAAAGTGTGGTTCCAATCATCAAGGTCATGCTCGGGTGCAGCAGCAAGTTGATTTGAGTGTCAGACAGGGTTTCCAAAACCAGCTATGCTAGCGGACTGCACAACCAATCTTCATTCTGATGCTGAAGTTTCGAACAATATGATTGTGGATAATAAGTTCATTGCTTTGCAAAGTTTGCCATTCTGGTGCTGCTAGTGATCAGGCACCTCTAATTGAGGAGCCTGTGCATGGAGAGGATAACGTTAAGCCTGGCATGGAGAGGATAATCTCACCAGAGCTGTGGGAAGCAGGGCCAAAGGAGAATCTATTAGGCATGTTAAGCCTGACATCAAATTGCACAGTAGAGGCACTTTCTGTGAGACTGACTTGGCGAAGTTGTAAAGCTACAGAAATTTATCAATTACGTTGCCAATCTATGAAATCATTTCAAGTCTGATTAGGTGTCATTATTTGTAACTGAAATTACCTTGTAAATTCTTTTACAAACGAAGAATTTGTCAAATTGAAATTAAAATGTATTTGTGATTCAAATATTTTGAATGGAGAATTTTTTTTTAATTTTATTTGTAATTGATGTTTATTGATTTTCGTRTTTTATTTCTATTTAAATGAATACAGAGAAGAGAACAGGGAATTTGATGAAAATTAGAAAAAAAAAGGTTATTTTAAAAATATATATACTTTTAGTGGCAGTCGCAAGAAGTTCCTGACTGCCTAAAATTCATTTTTCTTGTAGTGCATAAGATAGTACCTGGCGGCCATGCAAGAGCGAGCGTTCCGACTGACCAGGGCTCTGATGGATGCCGCCTCGAACAGCCCGTGACGAAGCCCCAGAAAAGAAAATTATGTCTTTATTCCTCTTTAGTTGACTGTCCACAATTCCACGTGTTGTTTGACCATCACCGGAGATGTTATGATCGAACTATACAGTTTCACGGGATCGCCGGAGAACCATGCTTAGATGTCAACTTTCGGGATTTAAGATCTCGGACGACGAAAGAGAATAAATGAAGGAACTTAAATTTCAAGTGGAGCCTCCCTTTAATTAGCTTAGCGTTAGCAGTGGTGGCTGATCGATTTTGCAGGAATTCGATGCGTTGTACGGCCCAGCTTGGCACTGTGCGGTAGGGAAGAGTTTTGGATCGTTTTTGACTCACTCACGAGGAGGGTTCCTATACTTTCAATCGACAAGTTCTGTTTTCTTCTGTTCAAAACGGAGGTTCGAAGAGTCACCGGGCCGCCTCCTCTGATAGTCTGTGACCTCAGAAAATAAAAATCAGTTGGGTATATCTTTTTCAGTGTTATAATTCTTGACAATGTATCTGAAACTTCTCAGGAATCAACCAAAAGGGTTTATGATACTATTTTGGCCTTTTTCTCCATTATTTTAGAATTCAAGTTTTCTTTTTCTGTCCAGATATTCTACACTTCCATTCTGTCTGTGACAGGCCTCACTTGTCTGATATGAGACAGGCCAAATGTAAATGCAGTAAAAAAGAAGTGGAGAGAAAAAAAAAAAAAAAAGTTTAGGAAATTCCAAGTTTCCAACTCGACATCAAGATGTTACTCTCGTCCGACTAGAAAGAGACGGTTCCATTGAAGAAATCGATAGATGAAATCGTCAACGAGCCGTCCAACGTAGCCCTTTTTCTCCACACCTCCGGCACCATGAGCCGACCAAAAGGAGTGCCGCTTACGCAGCTCAACCTTGCAGCCCCAGTACAGAACATCAAATCGGTGTATAAAACAACTGAGTCCTTTCTCTGCAGAGAGAAAGGATGGGTTTGTACTTGGGAGAATGAGCGAACTGGGGAAGCGGCGGTAGGATGTGGGATGTTTCTGGGTTAGGGTTCGACGGAGGAGAGGAGGAAGAGGGAATTTGAATGGATTTAATGTATTTTTGTCCTTTTGTATCCGGTTCCGATTAACTAAAACTAAAATTCAAAATGCCACGTAATAATTCCTTATCGGTGGGTTCACGCGTCCAATGCACCCATGGGTGCACAGAACGCGGACTCCATCAAAACCTTGCTAAGTCAACTTTTTGCTATCTACGCACAAAAGTAAAACGAAGAAATATTTATGACAGGCACCATTTGTCCTTACGCGCTATACCTACAAGTCATTAATACACTATCCTCATCTTATTAAAAAATAAATAAAATATTATCACGATATATACTAGAAAATATGTACATGGATTTGTATCTGACAGTATCTTCAAGGCAAAATTATTTACTCATGAATAATGGTATAGATGTATGAACACTGAACAATTTGTAGTTACAGGGAGATCCCAGTTCTTGTGTATTGGCATGAGTTCTTTACTTTTGCCAAATTATGTTTTGTTTGCTAAACTCAAGTGCTGGCGTCTATTTAATTTTAGCATTATTTATTTATAAAAAGACATAATTATAACCTTAAATTTTTTTAGCCAAATTTACCTTAAATTTAAAATTGTTGACATGTATACATATATATACGTATATGCATAAAGATAGATTAAATTCATACATACATACATACATATATACGTTTATTAATCCAGGGCTACGCACAGATACAAAGTACTTTCTTTGTAACTTAAAAGGCAAATTTTGATAGGTAATGCTTGCAGTTGAAATCCGGAGAATACAAGCAGTGAGAGAAATTGAAATAAATTGATCATGTCTGAAACATGAAAAGATAATGCTATTTGTTTAGTAAAAAAGACCAAACTAGCTGCTAAAGAAAATTGAACATTGGGTGAGAACACTCATGAAACACTTGCACAGTTGACATAAATTTTTAAAAACACCAAAATAAAAATGAAAAATAATAGTTCAAATTACATTTTTACCTGTACAATTAGAGAAGAATCAAATCCACAAATAAAGATGTTTTAGTAAAAAAAAGTTTATAAAGTTCGTTTATTTAATATATAATAAATATATGATTTAATAAAAGAGGATGAGAGTTAATATAGGACTTAAAGGGAATGGAATGAATTTTTGGACTGAATTGAGACTAACCCAACCCTAATATAGCCCCTTGGACGGAGAAAAATAAAAACTAATGAGTAGATTGATGCAAAAACCACTCCATATGTAGGATTGAAGAGTATGGATCATTTAACTACCAAAAAATAAAGAAGAGATAGTATGTGCAACTTGGGTCTTCTGTAAGTGCAACTTGCAAACCGACCCTCGGGAAGGTCCAAAATCTCATTCATTTTACACCAAACCGACCCCCGAAGAGTTTGGGTCTTCTGTAAGTGCAACTTGCAAATACACAGAGAGCACAACATTCAACCGCTCATTGAGAATAATTCCTCAAAATTTTGTATATATATATAAAAAAAAAACATGATTAAGTAGTTGGCCTTATTGTATTACTTTTTATTTTGAATTATATATGAATGTTTTCCATATTATAATCATTATTTGCATGTATTTATTAACAACTACCATGACTGGAAAGTCAAACATGATTACATGACAATTAAATTGCATTCTAGAGATAAAAATAAGCTCTTATCCTAGATTCATTGGAATTCACGGGATGCCTAATGTGGAAAAATCACACACAAGGGAGAAATTATTATGATATGTAAGTGAAGAATCCCACGTCGAAAAGAGATAAAAATGTAAATGATGGCCCATAACCTAATGGATTACGCCTTTGGATTAAATATAATATCCAATCCATGTTTATAAATGCATAAAAGACTTAAATATATTTTAAGTTTTTATAAATTGACTTAAATTTATATCGAGTTTTTCAAATAAACTTGAATATACCTTATGGTCTGACCCACTAGACTTGTGCTTTTGTTGAGCAAGAAATAAAAGTGAAGAAGAAGAAGAAGAAGAAAGGGAGAGGCAGTTCGTATGGCCACAACACACCACCGACATGAGTTTGAAAAAAGTCATGTTGTGCATTGCTTCATATGTCCAGTGGCCAGGTTGCAGTGTCCTTCTTTCTTGATCTCCATACATGAATAGCCCCCACCCAATTGTAAAAAGGTCTTTCTGAGAAAGTGGGTTCAGACCTCATTCTGTTTAAATGTAGGTAAAATTTGGTTTTGGGGATTGCGTGTATTGAATTTCAAGCAGATCATCGTTGCTATTAGAATAACAAATGCTTATGTTATGGAGCTTAATTTCTTTTGTTTCTCATCAGGGGTTTATCTAGTGGGATGAAAGTGAAATCCATAAGGGAGAAGATTGGTCTTCTATTTTCGTCTTCATGATTCTAATGCTTCATATCAACTTCTAAGGTCCTACTGAAAAAGTATGTTGTGTTAGGGGCAATAACTACATTAATAATGGAAAGTTATAAGTTAAATGATGCCATTTTTTCCCAATTCCTCGTCCTTATCATAAAGAATTTCATAAGGCTCAGTTTGGAAGGAGTACAAATGCAAATTTGTAGAGTGCAAATACGTACAAAATAATACAAAATACAAAGTTTTACACTCTACAAATTTGCATTTGTACTCCTTCCAAACTGAGCCTAATACTTTTTTCCTAGTGTTCAGGTTATTGCTTGCCAGGTAGAAGTCTATAAACATGGTGTGCCATTATGGCCCTGTTCGCTTTTCGGTAAGTTACTTACCCGGGTAAATACAATTATCTGGGTAACTTTTTCCTGGGAAACACTTACCCGGATAAGTGTATTTGCCCATGTTATTTTATTTCTCATGTAAATAAGGCAATGACCATTTTATCCATAAAAATTCATTATTAAAAGGGGTATTTTGGTCTCATTCAAGTGTTGGCAACTTTCCCCCTAGGTGGGAAAATTGTTTACCCACCTAGGAGATGGGTACCACTTACCCAAGTAAATGGTACCCAGGAAAATAAACTTTCCCTAGTCCCTACATAAATATGAAAAAAGAACATGAGATTCTTGGTCAATGGGAGCTTTCCCCTCTTTCAAAATCTGAAAAAAGAACCCCCCTTATATTCATATGTTTTCTAGACAGTAAATGGAGCCATGCTTTTACACATCTCTACCTTTCCTTTTAATAGCTTCCATAATTACAAGTGGCATGGAGTTCTAGCTTAGTTTCCATGTATAAATTTGAATGTGTTTTTCACCCTTGAGTGGGCCATAAGTTTGGCATAGCCTTCTTTTGATGCATCTCAGTAGGATTTTTATACCGTGTGTTCTTTCCTTAGGTTAGAAATACGTAAGGTATATTTTGAAAATTTAAAAGAGAATGAAGGGTAAAAGATCCACAAGGTATATTTAAGTTTTTCTAAAAATCTTTAGGGTACATTTAAGTAAATTTACAAAATCCCAGGCTATATTTAAGTCTTTTAGCCTTTATATAACCTTGGCATGTTGACAAATTCCCCAAATTGCATACATCCAACCTTATCGTGGTTCCTCTGCCATATAAGTGATTCAAAGAAATGTATCGATGTATGCCTTCAACTAGCCAAAAGAAACATATCGCCCACAACCTATCAATGGTCTTAAAAGATGGAAAAAATTGTAGCTTCCATTAATAGGAAAAGAAAGCCTTATGAAAACAATAGCAATTTACCAATTA